TGTCCATTCAATCACATGTCTGAAGAACGACGGTGCAGGCTACTGACAAGAAGTAAGGCTTGCTGCCTGAGGATTTATGCAGAAAACAAGTTCCTATCTAGTCCCTGAAAGCGTACACTGTGCCTCTGGTTCTGTGACAGAAGTTAGCTTGTGTTGGAGAGCCAAGCCCAGAGGCAGTGTGGCTTGGACAACACTTGAGTGGCAGGGTCAGACAATGTACTGACTGCTTCCTCCCGGAAAAATTTCTCCAGACTGCCAACTATCTTTGCACATATGGGGACAGAATTCCCTGTGGAATTCATCCTAGGCAACACTGTTCTTTCTCAGGCCTCATCACGATAGTGATGAGAGCTGCCATATGCACCTAACAAAGAAAGTAGAGATGACATCCAGCTCTCAGCGCATTCTCTGACTATTTCACATTTTATATGCAAATTTCCATGGCAAATTTCTCCCGAATCTGAAATAAAGAAAATAACCCCAAAGCGGGAGAAAACAGTAAACAGGAAAATTATCAAAGTATGGTCATTTTACCAATTGCAATAAAAGAAAACAAAGCCCATTATTCTCAATGTCTAGAACAAAAAATCACACACTTTAACATGCTGGATTGTAGCTGGAAATAAGTATCTCCACAATAAACAGGGTACACACAACTGTACTCATCTGTTGACAAACCCACCTTTGTCAGATACTTTACAAAACAGTGTGAAGAACCTAACTTTCCATGATAAAATCTACAAAGGTAAGAAAAAGAGCATTTATTGATAATTGTGGTACAGTATAAAACACCAGCAAAGGCTTAACATTAATGCTACTGCACAATCTGTGGAAAAAAAAATAAATGTATATGCTAGCATAATCGTTTCCTTCTTTAGGGAGTAACCTGGACCTGCTTGAGCAGGTCCAGAGAAGGGCCATGAATATGATCAAGGGACTGGAGCACCTCATCACACATGCCAAAGTAAAAGCCTAGAAAAGGTCTTTTACAGGATGCTGAAAAGAGCTTGACATTCTTAACAGAGCAGTCTATAGAACCAAATGTGAAAAAAAATATGGGTTTGGAAGTCTTTGAGATATACTAAGAATGATGAAAGCAAAAAAAAAAACAGGTCTAAGGGACAACATAAGCATCATCCAGAATGAGATGGTGGTAACCTACAGATATACTGGCTCTAACTGTACTAATCAAATAAGCAGCACCAGAAGCTACTGCATAGTTCCAATGACAGCTGGTGCTTTCTGGCCACTATCACACCACTAAGCCCTCCCAACCTCCTATCGATCAAGTTGGTTGCATCCAAACCGCCTGCTGGGCACAGCACTGCTAGCTATAAGAGCTAACTTCTAAACCACGTCCAAAATCATTTGAGACAATACACTAGGTTGGCCCAGGATCAACGTAAATGACAACTCTAACAACGCGACAGTACAAACATCTCAATCCCCCGCCTGCCCCCACGTCCTGGCGCTGTTTCATCTGCCAGCAGTGGTGTGCAGGGCCCGCGCAGCCCAGCCCGACACTCAGCAGGTCCCCAGCACTGCCACACGCCAAGGGCTGAGCAGAGCAGAAGAATGCCTGGCAGAAGCCACCAGATGCTTTCAGAGTCTTACCGATCAGCTCCGTGACCACGTATGCTCCAGTGATTCAAAGTAAAGAAATCAATGCTTAATGTCGTGACTAACAGTATTTGAAGCTATATATTACAGTTCAGTAAGAGGGTTTGAGCTATTACAATAAGTGACTGTAAAATCACTGAGAACACTTGTACCGCTTTGCATCATTTTAAAAGCTGAGCCTGGTGGCTCAGTCCAAGAAACAGGATCTGTCATTCCCTGCTTCTGCACGGAGCCACACCAGACAGGTTCTAGAAAAGGGAAAAGAGAGACAAAGAACCCAAGCTGTGGTCACAGATCCATGAGGCTTCCAAAAGAGCAGTGTTAGGTCCTGGATTGTGTTAGCATTCAGACTTCAGAACATCTGTATATGAGACAGGAATAGTCCTTAAAGAACTCCATTATTAGCATGCTAAAAATACAAAACCACCTTTTACATACAAAAATGAAGATTTTATTCTTGCACGCAGGTTTACTTCACAGCCTTTTCTCCACCTTCATGAAAACAGCAAAAGTGTCAGTTGGTCACTTACATCTTAGATAAAAATTAGGACAAAACACACACAACAGATGCAATACTTGAAGGTAGTACACAGTGAAACCTGTCTGTACTGGCAGCCCATGACAAGTTATCCTAGCTTTAAAAAAATGGTGAAACCTAAGACAAAAATATACATTTTTTTCAACGTTCAAATTCACTATTATAAACTCAGAATGAAGAGGTTTCTTGATTTAAATCACACAATTATACTAGCCATAGTGGTGCCATTGTGGCCGTGGTGATGATCTAAGAACATCAGTAAAGCAAGCTCTGCAGGGAGAGTTAATACCTTTTATTAGATCAGCTGACAAGGTGGGAAAAGTTTGAGGCATGTTTAGCTCTTCTTGTCTGATTTTCCTAGTATACTAGTTGATCTAATATAAGCTATTATCTCCCTGTGTAAGCTTTGTCTGATTATTTAAATCAGTCAAACAAAGACAGGTACCCACTTAAAAACTCATTATTAAGTCAAATGAGCATTTAGGGGCTTTTGCCACCCACAGATGCCAAAGCTAATATCCAGCAGAGACACGTCATTCATTAGTATAAAAACCTCATACCAAAGAGATGTGTTGTATGCTTTCAATTAGCAGATGAAATGCAAAAAAAAAAAAAAAAAAAAAGTTGCTTCAGTGGAATTAACAAAACAGAAAAAAAATCAAGCATTATTATCTATAATAACAATTATAACCATTAATAATGCAGTATTATTAGCTAAGATAGAACATTTTAACAAAATTCCTCACATTGATTTTTAAAAAGAATACGTGATACATTCCAACTCTGAAAACATTACTAAACTCTAGAAATTTATAATATTATATCTTTCATGATACTATTCTGCCCTGTTTTTTGCCACGGAGAAACACTGAAAGTACAAGTGCCACAGTGACTTTCAAGAAACACAACAGATGTGATTGTTCTTCTTGGTGAGGAGGAATCTAATTTGTTGACTTCAAGGGAATACTGCAAGGGTCCCCTATTTTTACCAAAAAGAAAAAAAATTGAATGGAAGGAGCTACAGTTGAAAGTGTTATGTTATGGAATCAGGTTCCAAAACTATTGCTGAGTAAAAGGACTACTCTGTTTAATGTAAATTTTTACAAAGGCAGTTGTTCCAGTCTCTGCAGTCTCACAGAGTCACCTTTAATGTGTTTACAAATGTATTAATGTCTTTGCCAAAACAGAATCATGCAAGAGTATAAGAGTAGTTGCACTTACCTACAGGGAAGAAAAGTAGGAAGAAAGGTACAATCATACTCTCTCATTAGTCAAAATATTAAATAATCCTTAATCATGGCAAGTTCCATCTAGCTTAAGCTACAGCTTACAAATAGGAACCAGCAAACATGCTATAAAGTAAAATCAGTGGAAATCACAGGATTTTAATGTGGTTGTTAATGGACACTATTTCATAATGAAAACAATTCACACAAGAAAACTTATTACCACATACAAAATAGGAATCTTTCTTAATAAAACCAGATTTCTTGTAGTTGAAGTCCTAAATACATTTCTTGTGAAAACACTATAACTGAGGCACATATTAGACACAATAATTTTCTGAATTCTGTCCCAACTTACAAGATACTCATATTCAGCCCTGGTGTGAACAAGCACAATTTCCACAGTTCAGATACAAAAACTGCGTATTTTGTGTTTTGTGAGACATTTTCCATACCATAGCATAACTGCATCCATTAATTTTGCACTCTCATCCCATTTTGATCCTTGCAGATTCAAAATAAGCTTGTATACAGGTTCTATTAGTAGAAACATCACCTACAGTTTAATCCAACAAAGGTGTCTGTTTTCGTCTGTGTATAATACAGCTTCTGCAGGTAAGAGGAAAATACTGGAGGGGCAACTATCATCGCAGCTAATTCTAACCGTATAAGAATATTGTCTATGCATGTATATGCAGCCACAATCTAACAATTCAAAATATAAATTTCAACAAATTGCAATCATTGGGTTTATTTATTAATATATACAAAGCATGTGTTTTATGCTTGGACCGAGTTTAAATAACAACAAACTGCAAAGAAATCACGCCACCTTATGGCAGAAGACAGCAAAACTGACGGCTTATACTTCACACACTACAGCTCCAAAGACAAGCGGAGCAAGTTCATACCTTTCACCAAAAAAATCCAAATACAGCCTTCTTCATACCCGTAAGCAAACAGAATATGCTCGTAAAAGTACCTGCACAGAACCTACTTATACTACTCAATTTAGAAGACTAAGTTGGATGCCAGCATATTGATTTTCAAACTTCAGGTTTGGGTTAGTACCTAATGCATTCCACTAAGATAACTGGAAAGAACACAAAAGCAACAAAGCAGCCTATATAATATGTTCATGAACATTATTCCAGAGGTGGAGTCTCTTAAGAATTTCCTGGTATTGTTATTTCCTCTTCCAGCAACTCTAAATAGATGGCCTGAAATAATCTAAACATGTACTGACAATATTGTGTAAGAGTACTTGGAAAAAGTGCTGCAGTAGTAACGTTAAAGTTAGAACCAAAAATCAACATGCCTTAACACTATTTTACTTTGATTTATGAAGGTTTTTCAATTCTTCTCTGGGTTGGTATTTCTCCTGGTGGCTAGGATATCATTCTCTTAGGGCATGCAAAAGAATAAAAAGAGATTTCAAAGTGAAAAGAAGGATCTGAATGAGAGCAGTCCACACCCAAACAACTAGATGTAGTAAGGGCTACAGATTTTTATACATATTATTTCTTTACCAATTCATATAATGACCTAGAATGTAAGTTTCTCCATGCAAAGTAACAGCTTTAACAATTAGGACATTAGGTAACACAAAGAGCCTCTCAATCCCTCTTGTTGGTGCTACTCAATTTATTTTCACTAACAATTATTGACTAAGACATAATGAGAGAAAAATGGACTTTTTAGGCCAGTAACTATCTTTCTGAAATTAACAAAAATTACCAAGTCTCTCTTTTAATAAATATTTATGCAATGTAAAACACCTCCAACAACAGAAACTGAATTATATCCTTAGTGTTTAAAACACTCTCTCCAAATATGAGATGTCCACATAAATCTATATGAAATTCCAGTCTGGAAGAACGTGGTATGAACCATATTTTTCCTATTTCATGTGAATTACTGGCACTAGGCATTTCGATACTTTGAAGGGATTCTCTCTTACTGTGCCCAGAAATTCTGTCAAAACTGGTAATATATAGTAGCAAGCTTTTTTAATTTAGAAGAATCACCATCTTCTGATGAAGAAAGATTTAGCTAGATGGTTCCCAAGAAACTTTATCCAGAGGATCTTGCTCTGTTTGTTGAAGTTATGCACTTAGTGTATTAAAGTTATGAGGGCAAAGAAATGAAAAAGTATTTTCCATTACTAGGAAAAAAAAAAAAAAGGCAAGGCACTTAAAAGCTTCAGACAAGACAGAAATGGACCAGAATCAGAAATGGCCTTGAAAATATCTGAGAAATAAGTTATTACAGTTCCTACCTGCATTCCCTAAGCACTCCAAAAGCTCCTTCCATATATTCTGTTCCCAAAAAATCCAGCACACTGAGGTCCTTTCTCCTTTGGTTTAGAGACAGTGAAATCCTTCCTACATTTTCCCACAGCAGGAAACTCAGAATATCTCCTTTTTTCCTCCACCCATCTCAAAACACTTTTTAAACACCTCCCTCCCGTTTCCAGGAATCAGTGTGCCACATTCCCACCCATGCTGAAGC